CTCTTGAGTTTTCTGGCAAGTAAATCTCTTGGGACATGTATCAAACAGGTAAGTCCTTATCCTGGAATTGAAGGCAGCACCTTGGCTCCCACACAGGGTGGCAGAGATGGCCCAGCAGGGTCATGTCCCGACGTTCCAGGTCAGATAAAGAAAGTGCTGGCTGTGTTTGTGGGGTCGGTTTGACGTATCTTTTCTGTTTTCTAGAAGCCTGGGGAAGGACGCGCTGTGCGGTAGGACCGGTGCTACTTTAGCCCTGAGGTTCAAAAACTGCACATCAGTGCAACTCCCTGAGTGGCCTTCATCACCAAATAAACCAGATTTGCTTTCTCCAGGGTGGTGGGAACAGGAGCTCACAAGTGGATTCCAGCTACACCTCAGGGTAGCAGTTGGCACATGCTTAACTTTAACTTTAAAGCCCACCCACTGGCTATTAAAGGTCACATGAACCCCTGAGATCTAATGAAAGGAAAACCAAACAAACCAAAAAAACCCACGACAATATCCCCAGAAAACACTACACCCCGTTTCCCACTCCTGAAGGAGGCCGGGTTCACATGACACGTCGGGGTCCCCCCCTCACCCCGGGAACTTGCCAGCCTCCAGCCGGGGAGCCGGAGCATTTGTCCCCCCCTGCCCGGGGGCAGCTGCCAAAGCAGCGGCGCAGCGAGGAGAGCAGCTCCCACTCGGGCTGGCCGTGCCCACGGAACCAGAACACACACACACAGAACAGGTGTCCAAGCAAAAAGGCCCCGGTGTGCCAAAAGAAATAAAAGATTGAACGCTGAAGCAGCTGGGCAGGAATGCTCTGCAGTGAGCAGCTCCATGATGTCTGGCACTCCTCTGCAGGTACAATTCTACACGGCACTTCCACCAGACACAGGGACACTCAAGGGACTATTGAAGCCTATTTAAGATACTCAAAATGCAGTGACTTTCACTTTCCATTAATGAGAAGAGCGTCACCCAATCGTGGTTGCGTACTTCAACAGCAGTAGCTTAGCATAATTGAAATGTGTGGCAGGACTTTGGAGTGAGCTTTTCAAGGATCTTCCAAGGCAGCCATGGAACCCTGCAGAAGCCCCATGGAAACCTCTGTCTGCGACAGTAGAGGTGTCAAAAAAAAATATCCTTTAAGATAACAGGGGGAACGTATAGTAAAGAAGGGGATCCTTACCTACAACCCAATAGATCGAATGCTACCCCAAGAGTCCTATTCGTTTAAACACACCATGCTGGAATACCATGGCAGTGACGGCCCCTGGCAGTTTCAGCCCTGGCACTGAAGGACGTTGAGCATCTTTCAGATCGGGGAAGCAAGCGGGGATAGAGAAAGGCCGCTGACAGCTGCGGCTTAGTGCCCCTCAGATCCCAACATCTTTACTGGTGCTGTGTAAAAGGGAGCATTCTACTGGCTTTGCAAAAAAATATTTGGGGGTGCTTTTATTAAAATCATGATTCTTGAGGGGTTTCTAAATTCATGCTTTTATTGGCATGAGACTGAAACCTGACAATATTTTCAGGCCAAAGTTGTTAAATGCTTTCTGCAGAGCATGCAGGGTTTTTCAGTGGGTTTGGGGTTTTTTTGGTTTCCCTGTTATTCTGCAGCATAAAGATTACCCACAGAGTTATATTTCTCTTCTCACATTGAAGATGTAAGTATTTGCGTGCCCTGAGCTGCACGAAGAATATAAAAAGTATACAATTGCATAGCAATTAATACACATCAGCGAGACAGAATTTCTTTGGCACTTACATCTTGCACAATAGACCAGGTGACCATTTAAGCCCCAATGTCTTCACCACTTGCTCTGTCCTACTGTAACAACATCACTTTTTAAATATTTAAAGATTTGCTTTAATAAAGAACTGTGAATAATTATTTTACCCTATCCTTGATTTCTCCCTGCTTTTCAGAGACGTTTTTTTCTCCTGCATTTCAAAATACTACATTGTTTATTGCCTGCTGCCACACTGTCCTGGTTTCAGCTGGGTTAGAGCTTATTTTTTTCTTCTTCGTAGCTAGAATAGTGCTGGATTTGGGATTCAGTGTGGGATTTGGTGTGAGAAGAATGTTGATAATATACTGATGGTTTTAGTTGTTGCTAAGGAATCCAGGACTCTCTATCTCCCCGTGTCCTGCCCGTGGGCGGGTGCACACAAAGCTGGGGGGAGCACGGCCAGAGCACTGGACCCAAACTGGCCAAGGGCATATTCCATATCCGACAGCGTCATGCGCAGTGGGTCGCGGGGGGTGACCGGGTAGCCCTCGCTCTCGCTTCTGGGATTGCGGTTTGGAGATTTCCTCATCTCTGGGATCGCTGGCTGGGGCCGGGCTGGGCATCGGTCAGCGGGTGGGGAGCAATCGCACTGGGCATCACTCGCCTCTATTTTCTATTATTACCGTTATTATTACTATTTTATTTCAATTATGAAATTGTTCTTATCTCAACCTAAGTGTCTCCTTACCTTTTCCCCTCCGATTCTCTCCCCCATGCCCCGGGAAGGGGGAGGGTGGTTGAGAGGCTGCGTGGTGTTGGGCTGCCAGCCGGGTCCAAGCTCCGAACAGCCCCTTTGTTAAAGAACAAACCCAAACCCAGAGCACCCCCAGGCACACACACAGCCCCCCCCCCTCATTCTGCATTTCGTTTTGAACTTAAACAGGATGCTCTAACTCGTCTGGGTCTCTGTCCCCCTGCACTCCCCCCGGAGCAAATGCCATTTCTGGGCAGTCGCTCTGCATCTCCCTCTGTTCCCTCCTGGTCAGGGCTGTCACCCGACACTCTGGGGCAGACAGGTTCTTCTGGGGACCCTGGGCAGAATGATGGCGGCACTAAGTCATAGTTACAATTAAAGCTTTATTTTTTTAACATTATTTTATGATCAGCGTAGCCTAGAATGTCACGATCAGAGTAGCACAAGATTTCTACAAGCAGCATCAGCGTAGCACAATTTTATAAGTACCGTAGCGCTGAATTTTATAGCACAGCTTAGCTTATGGCTCCCAATCACCCGGACCCTCTGCAGATTGGGTCGCATCTTAACACTTGGCTCGCCGTAGCTACGTAACGATCCTAACCTGGACTCAAAACACATGAGAGCATACGAGTGGCTCTCTCAATCCTCAGAGGAAGCAGACTGGTTGATCTTACAGACGGGGTCTGTGTGCTGCTGCGCTTCCCTGTTCTGTGACGGGGTCGTCACAACCTGCTGGGCCGGTGCCCGGCACCTTCCAGGCCCGTGGGGAGGGAAGACGTCGGCCTGGCGCCCGGGAACCTTGAGGCCGACGGGGACGGGGAGAAGAAGTCTGCCTGGTGCACAGGAGCTCCAGGGCCTGAGGAGGAGGGGAGAGGGGACTGAGACAGGACCAGCCCGGTCACAGAGCGTGGCCGTTTGCCTCATGAAATGGCGTTCGTTATGCTAACCGTGTTTCCAGGGCTCGGGAGCAGGGGGTGCAGGCCACAAGCGCAATTGTTAATCGCCTCCATCAGATGGTTCCTGAAGTGCCGGGATGGCAGCAATGCAGGGCCCAAATAGCCGTTAGGCTCAAGGCCACTGGCGACTGTGTCTTGGCGGGCAGAAAAAATTAATTGGAAACAAACCCGTAAGAGACCAGGTGCTTTGCTACATGAGTCTCACGGACACAGTCCTGTACCTGGGAAGAGTGGAAAAGAAACCCTCAGCACCCCGAACGTGCCAGCCAGCGCTGCGGAGGCACGTTTACAGCCCTGGGCAGGTTTCTTTCACCTGGCTGCTGCAGCTCGGGGAAGAGGCGGGGGCTCTGCCAGCGGGCGAGCAGCCCTTCGGCTGCGGCGGCTGTGTGGCCGCAGTGTGTCCCCGTGCGTCCCTGGGTGGCCCCGTGTCACAAAGGGGCGGTGATGCGGCACCCGCCCGGCGATTGTGATCTCACCGGGCCAGGGCCCGACATCCTGACAAACAGGCCAGTGAAAGGCGGTGGGGCTGAGCCGGCCTTCGGGGTAACTCGGCTCCTTCCTTTGGTACTTGCGTGCCTCCTTTGCACCAAGCAGTTACCGTGTACTGCCCTCTTCTCCTCAACTGCCATCCTCTTTCAAAGGTAATTATGATTTGACTTTCAGGGCAGATCATATGAGTACGTAGATACGGGCTAAAAGTATCCAAACGGCCTTTGGAATTGCTGCCAGTTGGAGTCCTGTGACAGGGACAGTAGGGCCAGCAGCCTGCAGCTCTGCAGCAGCTGCAAGTACCACTGACACGCTCTTGATGGCGGAGGCTGTTCTGTGGGTTTCATTTGGGGTTTTTAAAATTCCTTCTGTTGAGCTACAGTTATCTCTTTGCAATCAGGGACTGGCGCGGATCTTCTCTGTCTGGAGAGCAGCCTGACATCCTTTGTCACCCCAAGCTCTCCCCTGTGTTGCTGAGAGGAGCGAAGGCCGCAATGGGGAACGACTTCTGTGAGTGACAGCTTCACCAGCCCGTTTGGATTTGGGGAATGCCCAAAGGCAGCGGACGTGGCCGGTGCTCCAGCCCTGAGTGTTGCTGTGCTGACAGCCTAGAGTGAATTCTGGGGCCTTCCCTGGTAGCAGCCAGACCTACCCCAGTGTTTCTGGTTACACAGGAAAACACATTTTATCACTCCCTGCCCCTAGCACAAGACTTAAAGTGTCGTTGCTCATAGAAAGAGCCGACATCAGTAGGGTTACCTTCTGGGCTGGATACTTGCTTGTTTTTGTCAAGTTAAAATCAGGAAAAGGGAAAACTTGACCTGCTAATCCAGTTCAAGACTCGAGAGGGAAGGGAAGGTAGCCCGAGGCACCGAAATCAGCGTGTGGGTTTGCTGGAATTTTGACAAAGAAAGCAGGGGAACAGACTATTTTCCAAAACTGTTTCTTGGCCAGCAAATTTCACTGGCAGTGTTAGGCTTCCCCCAGTGTTTCTGGGTTGGATGTAGACCTGGTTGTACCGGGTGCTACTGAGGAGAACTCAACCTTTAATATGCTTTTGTGCAGCAATATTGTCTCATGTCTTTTCAAATCTCATTTCCCTGCAGTCACTGTTGAGGGAATGGCTCCGCCACAAAAGATTCTCTTTCCCCCGGAGAAGATTTGCATGGACTGGCAGCAACGACAGAGCGCTGGAGCAGGGCTCTACAACCTGGGGAACACGTGCTTCCTCAACTCCGTCCTGCAGTGCCTGACGTACACACCCCCTCTGGCCAACTACCTGCTCTCTCGGGAGCACAGCCAGTTGTGTGAGTGCTTTTATGAACATCTCCTTGTAAATCTGTTGGGCACTTCCCAAGGATTCCCAGAAACTGGAATTCAATTTAGGAGAAAAGCAGCCTTTCTTTGTCAACCCCCTGAGTTGGTGGTCTTGTAACACTCAAGCCTAGAAGCCTCTTGTCGTAACCAGAAATGTTCATCTTCAGAAAGACAACTCTTTCTAGCCCTGGGTCTCTATTCCTGCAAGTTAAACAATTCTCTTTGCTTACTCTATAGAAAACTTGTGTCAGTTTAGTGTCCCTCTGAAGAAATTTTCCTGTGCACTAACATGTTCCAGGCTTGTTGAGACGTCAGCACCTTGAGACAAGAGGAGTGGAAACTGTTCTTCTAACTTCAAGATTTCCACTAAGTTTCCCATGGCTATGGGTATTTTGCTAACCAGAGAAGCTTCCTTCCCTCTCTCCCTCTGCAGGTCACCAGCAAGGCTTCTGCATGATGTGCAGAATGGAAGCGCACGTTAACAAGGTGCTGCATTCCTCAGACAGTGCCATCCAGCCTTGGGATGTCGTCAGTGTTCTCTCACGTAAGTCATCTCAGGTGCTTTTACATGTTTCCTGCCATTTTTGTAGGACAGCACTAGTGACTCCTTCTTTCTTAGGAATAGGAGAACATTTCGAGCCTGGCATGCCGGAAGATGCCCGTGACTTCTTACACTGTACTGTCAGTGCCATGCAGACAGCTTGTCTGAGTGGGAGCAGCGAGTAAGCACAAATTACTTTTTCCATGTTCCTGAGCCCTTTGGACATCTTGATGTACTCTCATCAAGAAAACCCTACGCCCAAGGCTTTCAGACAAAGCAAAACTCTTGGAGGAGATAACTCTCTGCCTTACCATTTATTTCCAGCTTGGATGCCTCTTCTCAACTAACTACAGTTGTCCAACAAATATTTGTGGGCTTTCTGAGATCCAGAGGTACTTTTCCACAACCCTTCTTCTCCTCGTCTGTGCCCTTCTGCCTGCCTGTGATAAACAGCTGATTGTGTAACTGGTGTAGTAGGTATGAAGGATGTAAACTGGCACAATCAGTTGATTTCCCCTATCGCTGAGCATTTTGATTTGCCTTCCAGTCACGTGCTTGAGCTGCAACATGACTACCAATTTCTACCAGGCCTTCCTGGATCTTTCTTTGGATATACAAGTAAGGGTTTCTAACTGCGCTTCAAGACATCTCAAAGTCCCTGTAGCTTCCCAGAATCAACACAGTTGACTTAAAAATGTGTACTGCAAACACAAGAGAGCTTGGTGGTGGGTGGGATGTGGAAAGGATGGTGTCCTTCTGGGGAGGCCATGGCAGAGGTCTCCGTGTAGGTGCTGGCCTTAAGCTGGACAAGCACCCATTATCCTCTCTGCACATCATCAGTACATGAACTGAACGGTGGCACAGGGATGGAACTCTTGATAGCCCCAAGGATCCTGGGGAAATGAGGGCAATTTTGAGCGTAATAGCCTCTTTCTGCCTCCTTCTGGACACTTCTTGGCGGTTCACAGTGGCTCTCCTCAGTGTCAACCAGCTGCATTTTTGCGTAAACTCCTAGTGAGTGTTTGGGCAAGGGTACTTCCCACAGCTCAGTGCTCTCTTTTCTCACTCCTCCAGGCAGCCTCATCTGTCACCGCAGCTCTGGAGAACTTTGTGAAACCGAAGCAGCTGGATGGTGAAAACTGCTTTAAATGTAGCAAGTAAGATGATTCCTAACGACATATTAGTACTAGATCCTGCGGGAAGGTGCTGCATGTCATCTGTCATAAGCCATCTTGTCACGTAGGTTTAATGCACAATAGAGTTGTAGCTTTTTTTTATTTGGCCTTATGGTACTGAATAGCCTTAAAATAGCATAAGGATGTGTGAGACAGGAGAGCTTGCCTGGCCTCCTTGGGGCAAGACAGGGTGCATTTCAGCACCTGGCTCTGTGCTTGGTTTCAAGGTGTGACAAGATGGTTGCCGCCTCCAAGAGCCTTACAGTCCACCACGCACCCAGGGTTCTCACGGTGTGTCTGGAAAGGGCTGAAGATTTCACCAACAGGAAGATCAGCAAGGTGTGTACGCAACTGGAGTGCAACTTTCTCTTCCTGGAGCAGGAGATTTCCCAGAGCTGTTCATGTTGAGTTTTTCGTGTTTCCTTCTGGAGAGAGGAGAGTCCCCATGGGAAGACAAGCGTGTGCTCTGCTCCGACTGAGCTACTTTGGCCGACAAGTTTCCTGCCACCCAGACATGTTGTTTTAGGGAAGACCAAGTATCCAGGAGCCCAAAGATGTATTAATACACCTCTGGCCCCTGGTCATTGAGGGCTATTTCATGAGTATTTCTGGATCATTTTGGAGCCCTCTTGGTCTCTCCGTAGGTTGTGGAGTATCCCGAGTGCCTGGATCTTCGCCCGTACACATCTCAGGCAGCTGGGGAACCGCTCCTCTACTGCTTATATGCTGTCCTGGTACACAGCGGTGACAGCTGTAATGAAGGACACTACTACTGCTACACAAAGGTAAAGAGCAGCTTGCTTCCAAACAAGGGAGAAATGTGTGCTGGGGAAGACAAATTTGCATGGCAGGTATCAGCAGATTAGATTTTGGGGAAGAAGGTCTCCTTAGGGGCTGGATTAGATTTGGTGTGGTGTTTGTACTCTTGCTTCTTCTGTAGTTTTCTGCCTGTGTTTTTCTGGAGAAACCACACAGTTCGTCTCCAGGTATCGATGCCTTTTTTTACAGGCCAGCAACGGACTGTGGTACAAGATGGACGATATGTCTGTGCATTATTGTGACATTGACACAGTTCTCAGGCAACAAGCTTATTTACTGTTTTATGTCAGGTAATAACAAGTATTAAAATGTGTTCAGAATACATTTCCTTTTGCTAACTTTTATTTTTTTCCTTTTCATCCCCCTGAGTGTTTCTCTTTCTGTCACAGGAAGCAATTACCACCTGCATCATTCTGTGCTGTCAAATCTAAACTACCCCACGGCAGCCCATAAGGCCCCTTGCTGGGCTTTAGGTCGCTGCCGTGGTGTAAACTGCTACTTGTCTTCTATCTGAAGCTGGCTAATGTAGAGAAGAGACCTTAAAAGTACAGGAAAGATGGGGAGGGACTGTTTATCAGGGAGTGTGGGGATAGGACAAGGGGTAACAGTTTTAAACTGAAAGAGGGTAGATTTAGATTAGGTATTAGGAAGAAATTCTTTACTGCGCAGGTGGTGAGGCACTGGAACAGGGTGCCCAGAGGAGCTGTGGCTTCCCCCTTCCTGGAAGTGTTCAAGGCCAGGTTGGACAGGGCTTGGAGCAACCCGGTCTAGTGGAAAGTGTCCCTGCCTATGGCAGGGAGGGTGGGACTCGATGATCTTTACGGTCCCTTCCAACCATTTTATGATTCTATGACTCTATGAAATGGAGGCTGTAGGATGTATAAAGACGAGATCTTGCTCCGACAGGGGCAGACCTGGTGGGGAGACCCCAACTGAGTTTCCCATTTGTCGTCTTGGTTATGTCTTCTCTCTGTTGTAGAACTACTCCAAGAAAATGACTGAACCCCAGAGGAGGTGCTCGGATTTGCAACCTGAAGAAAGGACTTCTTCCCACCGGCACTGTCCTACGCCCGTTCCTTCCTCAGTCAGTGGGCGGCCGGCAGCGAGCAGGTGGGCTCTGTGGGACCACAGGGTCTGCCTTGTCGGACCAAGGCAGCTCTGGGGAGGTCAGGGCACCAGACAGACAGTGGATTTCTTTCTGAGATCTCTTTTCCCTCCTAACCTGCAGCTTTCTTCACAGTTGCAGCACCGCTCCCTCTCCAAGCACCCCACCTAGATCCATCCCATTTCTCCACCTTTGGCTCTTCTGCCTTTGCAGCCCTCCAGGAGAGCCTTTGGGAGGCCCTTGGCTGTTCCCTCCCACAGCTCCTGGGGGTTCCCCATGGTTCTGGTCCTTTCAGGAGGAAAGGGCAGGACCTTACCACAGTTCTCTTTGCAGGATGTGGCGGTGGGCATGGAGGGCTCTCTAGAGGACAGTGGCTCCTCTGCACCAGCCAGCACCAGCCAGGTAACCTCGGCAGGTGCCCAGGAGGCATCTGCATGGTGGCTGTGCCGTATCTGGCCAGGCAGGCTCCGCATGGCCTCCTACGTGGGCTCCTGCTTGCATCGCTTCTTCTGTGGCTGTGTAAGGCTGGTATCCAGAAGGAAAGCTGCGTGCCTGGACTCCCGTCAACTATCTGATAGTGTGCTGCACGCCATGCGAGAAGACAGCAACAAAGGGGAGCACGGATTCAGCACTTCTTCCCGCTGCCAGACAAACAGCGCCAGGGAGAGGGCCCGGAGCAGGTCCCCACAGTGGGGAAAAGATCATCGCAGCTGGCTCGTGGACACCACGGACTACGAGCACTCAGCAGGGAGAGGAGGAGGAGAACTAGTCCTCCAAGTCGTGAACACGCTTCCAGGGATGACACAGCTCCAGAGCCTCCTAATGGAAGCTCCCAGTTGGCTCCCACAGCCAGGGCTGCTCGGGAGAAAACGCTGCCAAGGCAGAGCGAACAGAGCAGAGCCCTGCAGCGCAGAGATGATCTCCTCAGCCAGTTCAAGGAGATCACGGATTACCACTGCTCAGAAAGGACAACACGTTCTCCACGCTGTGACCGAGCCCCAAGGGACAATGCAGCTCCAGGGCCCAACTCCAACAGCTCCCAAGTGGGCTCCCAGGGCTGCTTGGGAGAAAACTCGACGGAGGCAGAGAGCGCGGAGCAGATCCCCACAGCGGGGCCGTGATCGCCGCAGCTGGTTCATGGACACCAGACTATGACCCTTCGGCAGGGAGGAGGAGGAGGAGAAGGGTTTCAGTGCCCCAGAAATGCACATCGCACAAACACTCAGAGCGCTGCAGTGGTGACAGTGGCAGATTGTGACCCTGGATGAGGGAGGAGCATAGCATCCGACTTCTGCCACGCTGGAGAGGAGGAAAACTAATTCAGGAAACACCAAAACTGTGCCCAGCAGGGACCAGGCTGCGCTAAGGCCACCGGCAGCCCCCCTTGTCCTTCCTCTCAGTGCTGCCTCTGCCCAGGAGGAGCTCAGAGAGACCTTCCAGAGACCTGGGCAGCTCTGCTGGCTGGCCCCCCTGCCCAAAGGCCCCTTGAGGAAGAGCTTTAACCCATGCTCAGCTTTTGGGATCACCTTGCAAAACCAGCACTCCTCTGGAAACAACAGTCAGAAAAGCCAAAGCCAGAATTAAAAACAGGTGTTGGCCTTGCATGTGTAATTTACGGGGTGTTTCATTCTCTGCAGGTTTGGGGTCAATCAGTGGAAATATCCAGTCTGAGAAGTTTATGTTATGGGATTTTGAAAGCTGTGGGCTTGCACGTGCCCATCTTGCGCTCTCATTAAGTTCCAGTTCAAGTCACTCGAAGGGAAATGGTCCACATGAGCCAGCACCGAGCGGGACTGCAACAGGCTGAACGGCCGGGCCGAGGGTGCTGCTCAGTGGCACCAAGTGTAGTCAGAGGCCAGTGACTAGCAGTGCCGTTCAGGGTTCAGTACTGGATCTGATCCTGTGTGCCCTCTTCCTCAACTGATGGTCTGGATGACAGGGCAGAGTGCACCCTCCACAACTTGGCAGATGCCACCAGACTGGGAGGAGTGGTGCCGAGGCCAGGGGCCGTGCTGCCATCCCGAGGGGCCTGGGCAGGCTGGAGAGATGGGCTGGCAGTTCAGCAAGGAAAAGCACAAAGGGTGCTGTGGGTGACGAGCACCAGCACCGGCTGCCCGAGGCGCCTGTGGAGGCTCCAGCCAGGTAGATGTGCCACAGCCCTCTCTGCCCATGGCCAGGGACACCCAGCTGCAGGTGGCCCTGCTCGAGCAGGGCTCAGCCCGGGTGAGTGCCCCCTCCGGCGGCTCTCCCGGCCAGCCTCACGGAGCCTGCGCTGCTGGGAAATGGCTGCTGAGAAGAGGACGCAGGACTTCTCCTCAACTTCCATCCTCTTTCCATGGTAATTATGATTTAACTTTCAGGACAGATCATAAGAGTAGGCAGATACAGGATAAAAGTATCCAAACGGCCTTTGGAATTGCTGCCAGTTGGAGTCCTGTGACAGGGACAGTAGGGCCAGCAGCCTGCAGCTCTGCAGCAGCTGCAAGTACCACTGACACGCTCTTGATGGTGGATGCTGTTCTGTGGGTTTCATTTGGGGTTTTCTAAATTCATTTTGTTGAGCTACAATAATGTTTTTGCAATCAGGGACTGGCGCTGATCTTCTCTGTCTGGAGAGAAGCCTTTGTCATCCCAAGCTTTCCCCTCTGTTCCTGTGAGTAATGGCCTCACCAGCCCGTTTGGATTTTGGGAATGCCCAAAGGCAACGGACGTGGCCGGTGCTCCAGCCCTGAGTGTTGCTGTGCTGACAGCCTAGAGTGAATTCTGGGGCCTTCCCTGGTAGCAGCCAGACCTACCCCAGTGTTTCTGGTTACACACAGGAAAACACATTTTATCACTCCCCTGCCCCTAGCACAAGACTTTGAAAGTTGTCGTTGCTCATAGAAAGAGCCGACATCAGTAGGGTTACCTTCTGGGCTGGATACTTGCTTGTTTTCACCGAGTTACAATCAGCAAAAGAGAAAACTTGAGATGCCATTCCAGTTCAAGACTCAAGAGGGAAAGGAAGGTAGCCCGACGCACAGAAATCCGAGTGTGGGTTTGCTGGACTTCCAGCATGTTACATGGACTGGCAGCAACAACAGAGAGGTGGAGCAGGGCTCTACAACCTGGGGAACACGTGCTTCCTCAACTCCGTCCTGCAGTGCCTGACGTACACACCCCCTGGCCAGCTACCTGCTCTCTGGGAGCACAGCCAGTCGGGAGTGCTTTTATGAAATATCTCCTTGGAAATCGGTTGGGCACTTCCCAGGGTTTCCCAGAATCTGGAAGTTGATTTAGGAGAAAAGCAGCCCTTCTTTGTCAATCCTATAGTGGGTGTTCTTGGAACACTGAAGCCGAGAAGCCGCTTGTCTTATCTAGGCGTGTTCATCTTCAGAAAGGCACCTCTTCCTAGCCCCGGGTCTTGGTCCCTATTCCTGCAAGTCAAACTCTTTGCTTATTGCACAGAAACTTATGTCAGTTTAGTGTCCCTCTGAAGAATGTTTTCTATGCACTAAAATGTCCTGGCCTTGTTGGGACACTGGCACCTTGGGAGAAGAGGAGTGGAGACTGTTCTTTTAACTTCAAGATCCCCATCAGGTTTCCCATGGCTATGGGTATTTTGCTAACTTGAGAAGCTTCCTTCCCTCCTCCCTCCCTCCTCCCTCCCTCCCTCCCTCCCCTCCCTCCCCCTCCCTCCCTCCCTCCCTCTCCCTCCCTCCCTCCCCCTCCCTCCCACTCCCTCCCTCCCTCCCCTCCCCCTCCCTCCTCCCCTCCCTCCCTCCCTCCCTCCCTCCCTCCTCCTCCCTCCCTCCCTCCCTCCCTCCCTCCCTCCCTCCTCCCTCCCTCCCTCCCTCCCTCCCTCTGCAGGTCACCAGCAAGGCTTCTGCATGATGTGCACAATGGAGGCACACATTAGCAAGGTCAGGTATTCCTCAGGCAGTGCCGCCAAGCCTTGGGCTGCATCAGTGTTCTCACACGTAAGTCATTTCAGGTGCTCTTACAGTATTTTCTCCATTCCTGTAGAGAGAACTAATAACTTCTTCTTTCTGAGGAATAGGAGAACATTCTGATCCTGGCATGCAGGAATATGCCCATGAGTTCTTACGCTGACTTCCCCTACCACCGACCATTTTGATTTGCCTTCCAGTCAGGTGCTTGAGCTGCAACACGGTCTCCGATTCCTACGAGGCCTTCCTGGATATTCCACTGGATATAAAAGTAAGAGGTTTGGCAACTGTGTTTCAAGACGTCCCAAGGCCCCTGTAGCTTTCCAGAATGAATATGGTTGACTTAAAAATGCATACTGTGAACACAAGAGCGCTTGGTGGTGGGTGGGGTGTGGAATGGACGGTGTCCTCCTGGGCAGGCCATGGCACTGCTCTCCCTGTAGGTGCTGGCTTTAAGCTGGACAAGCACCCATTATCCTCGCTGCACCCTTGATAGACTCTCATCCCTCTTTCTTTTGCCCTCCCTCAACCCCATCTGGCTCCTAGGCTGATGGGTTGTGTTGTTTTCATTACCGATGACCCTCCACACCATCGGGAGCTGAACTGAGCGGTGGCACAGGCACGTAGCTCTTGACAGCCCCAGAAATCCTGGGGAAATGAGGGAAATGTCGACCATAATACCCTCTTTCTGCCTCCTCCTGGACACTGCCTGGGGGTTCGCAGTGGCTCTCCTCAGCGTCATCTAGCTGGGTTTTTGTAAACTCCTAGTGAGTGCTTGGGCGAGGCTATTTCCCACAGCTCACTGCTCTCCTTTCTCACTCCTCCAGGCAGCCTCATCTGTCACCACAGCTCTGGAGGAATTTGTGAAACCGAAGCAGCTGGATGGCGAAAACAGCTTTAAATGTAGCCAGTAAGATGATTCCTAACGACATATTAGTACTAGATCCTGCGCGCGGGTGCAGCATGTTGCCATCATAAGTCACCTTTTCACATAGGTTTGATGCACAATAATGAGACACAGCACTTTTTCATATGGCCTTATGGTACTGAATAGCCTAAAATAGCGTAAGGCTGTGTGAGACAGGAGAGCTTGCCTGGCCACCTGGGGCAAGGCAGGGTGCATTTCAGCACTGGGCTCTGTGCTTGGCTTCAAGGTGTGACAAGATGGTTGCTGCCACCAAGAGGTTTACCGTCCATCGCGCACCCAGGGTTCTCACGGTGTGTCTGAAAAGGTTTGAAGATTTCACCAATGGGAAGATCGGCAACGTGCGTACGCAACTGGAGTGCAAGTTTCTCTTCCTGAAGCAGATTTCCCAAAGCAGTGCCCTCATGTTGCATTTTTCATGTTTCATTCTGGGGAGAGGAGAGTTCCCGTGGGAGGACAAGCGTGTACTCTGCTCCGACAGAGATGCTTTGGCTGACAACACTTTCCTGCCACCCAAAGACATCACTTGAGGGAAAACCAAGTGTTCATGAGCCCCAGAGATGTTTTTATACACCTCTGGGCCCTGCTCTTTGAGGACTATTTCATTTAGTGTTTCAGGATCATTTCGGAGCCCTCTTGGTCTCTCCGTAGGTCGCGGAGTATCCCGAGTATCTGGATCTCCACCCGTACATGTCGCAGACAACTGGGGAACTGCTCCTGTACTCCTTATATGCTGTCCTGGTACATAGTGGTGACAGTTGTCAGGAAGGACACTACTACTGCTACACAAAGGTTAAGAGCAACTTCCTTCCAAAGAAGGGAAAAATGTGTGCTGGGGAAAACAAATTTGCATGGCAAGGTTACTGGCAGCCAAGGTTTTGGGAAGAAGGTCTCCTTAGGAGCTGGAGTGGATTTGATTTGGTGTGTGTACTCTTGGTTCTGTAGTTTTCTGCCTGTGTTCTTCTGGAGAAACCACGCAGTTCATCTCCAGGTATCGATGCCTTTTTTCACAGGCCAGCAATGGAGGGTGACACAAGATGGACGATACATCTGTGAACTGTTGCAACGTCGACACAGTTCTCAGGCAGCAAGCCTACTTACTGTTTTATGCCAGGTAAAAACAAGTCACAAAATGTTTCTGTTTCTGTGTTTCTCTTTCTGTCATAGGAGACAATTACTACCTGCATCCTTCAGTGCTGAAAAATCAGACCTAACCCACGCCAGTCCTTGTCTTTCCTTGCCGGCTTTAGGCTGCTGCCCTGGTAAACTGCTACTTGTCTGCTATCTGAAGCTGTCCAATGTCGAGGTCCTGGGTTTGGCTGGAATAGAGTTAATGTTTCTTCTTAGTAGTTAGAATAGCGCTGTGCTTTGGATTCAGTGTGGGATTTGGTATTAGAAAAATGTTGGTAACACACTGATGTTTTCAGTTGTTGCTGAGACATCAAGGACTCTCCAACTCCCCGTGTCCTGCCCGTGCGCAGGTGCACAAGAAGCTGGGAGGGAGCACGGCCAGAGCGCCGGATCCAAAGTGGCCAACTAAATACTCCCTGTGATGTAACGTCATGCTCAGTGTAGAAAGGAGGGGCGGCCAGGAAGAGGGGGGCTCTCCCTCGCTTCCAGGATTGCCATTGGGGGATCTTGGGATTTTGGGACTGCTGGCCAGGAATGGGCTGGGTAGCAGTCAGTGGGTGGTGAGCAATCACATTGTGCATTGCCCATTTGTACTTTCTACTATTGTTGTTTCATTTTATTACAGTTACTAAACTGTTTTTATCTCAACCTATGAGACTCCCTTTACCCCTTCACTGGAAGAGGTTGCCCAGTGAAGTTGTGGCTGCCCCCTCCCTGGAAGTGTTCAAAGCCAGGTTGGACGGGGCCTTGAGCAACCTGGTCTGATGGAAGATGCCCCTGCCCATGGGAGGGGTTGGAACTAGACAGTCTTTAATTTCCTTTCCAACATTTTATGATTCTATGTTTCTCTGAAATGGAGGCTGTCAGGGGCATAAAGACAAGGTCTTGTTTTGACACCAGTCAAGTTTCCCATTCTCATCTTGGTTATGTCTTCTGTCCGTTGTAGAAACGGCTCCAAGAAAATGACTGAACCCCAGAGGAGGTGCTCGGATTTGCAACCTGGAGAAAGGGCTTATTCCCCACCGGCACTGTCCTACGCCCGTTCCTTCCTCAGTCAGTGGGCGGCCGGCAGCGAGCAGGTGGGTTCTGTGGGACCACAGGGTCTGCCTTGCCTGACCAAGGCAGCTCTGGGGAGGTGGCCAGGGCACCAGATGGATAGTGGACTTATTTCTGGGGTCTCTTTTCCCTCCCACAAGCTGCAGCTTTCTTCGCAGTTGCAGCACCGCTCCCTCTCCAAGCACCCCACTTAGATCTGTCCATTTTCTCCACCTTTGGCCCTTCTGCCTTTGCAGCCCTCCAGGAGAGCCTTTGGGAGGCCCTTGGCTGTTCCCTCCCACAGCTCCTGGGGCTTCCTCCCAGTGCTGCCTCTGCCCAGGAGGAGCTCAGAGAGACTTTCCAGAGACTCGGGCAGCTCTGCTGGCTGGCCCCCCTGCCCAAAGGTCCCTCGAGAAAGAGTTTTAACCCGTGTTCCGCTTTTGGGATCACCTTGCAAAACCAGCACTCATTGGGAACGAGCAGTCAGAAAAGCCAAAGCCAGAGTTAAAAAAACTTGTTGCCCTTGCATGTGTAATTTACGGGGTGTTTCCTTCCTTCTCTGTAGGATTTGAGGCAGTTGGTGGAAATAGCCAGTACTACAAGTTTTTGGTATGGGGTTTTGAAAGCTGTGGGCTTGCATGTGCCCACCTTGCATTCTCTTAAAGTTCGAGTTCTAGTCACTGGAACGGCAATGGTCTGCATGAGCCAGCACCGAGCGGGACTGCAACAGGCTGGACGGCCGGGCCGAGGGTGCTGCTCAGTGGCACCGGGCGTAGTTGGAGGCCAGGAACCAGCGGTGGCATCCAGCGGTCAGGGCTGGGCCCAGGACTCTTTGCCACCTTCCTTAATTCATGGGCCGGGTGGCGGGCTGGAGCAGGGCTCGGCCCGGGTGAGTGCCCCCCCCGGGGGCTCTCCCGGCCAGCCTCACGGAGCCTGCGCTGCTGGGAAATGGCTGCCGAGAAGAGGACGCAGCCACCAACGCCGTCCCCCTCGGGCGGCCAGCGCCAGCAGGAAGCTGCAGCCCGCGGAGAGCCCAGGCCCGAGCGGGACCCTGGCAGGAGCTGCGGCCCCTGGAGAGGAGCCCAGGCAGCAGCAGGTTCTCTGGCCGCAGCTGGGGCCTGCGGGGCCCAGGCGGGAGCAGGGAAACGGCCTGAGGAGGAAGGGGCGGCAGAGACGAGGCGCCCGCAGCCCCGTGCCCCGTCCCGCTGCGGCGCTCGCTCGAGGGGGAGAGGCGGCCGAGGAGCCGGGCAGGGAGGAGCGCGGCTGAGCCCGGGCACAGCGGCGCTGGGGAAGCGGCTGCCGGCGGGGTTTGTTCCCGCTCCCTTTCTGAGGGACGGACAAACCGCCCCGAGCCCGGCCCGCTCAGGCCCCGCGCGCTGGGGAGGGGGCGCGGGGCGGCGCTGGGAGGAGGGGCCCGGGCTGCCCTGCCCGGCAACAGCCACGCCATTGGCCACGGCTGAGCCAATGGGCGGGGCCGGAGGCGGCCCGGCAGTCCCGGCCGGCCGGGGGCGGGGCCTGAGGAGCAGCGCGGGGGCGGGGCCGCCCTCCCCAGCCGCTCCCCGTGGGCCCCAGGGGAGCGCTGGGTCGGGCCGGGCCTGGCCAGAGCGGGCCGGGGCCGTTTGCCTTCGCCCGCCCTCGCTGGCTGCCGGGCGCAGCCGGGCCGGGCTCCTCCCGCTGTCCCCCAAACTCGGGAATGAACCCCCTGAGCCCAGGGGAGCCCCCAGAGGCAGGCATTCTCTGTGCCCCAGCGCGGGGGGGGGGTCCCTGCGCCCCGCGGGCATGCCCCGGGACAGAAGCCCGGGCTCTGGGTGCCTGCAAGGCAGGAATAGTCCCGGCTTTTCCGAGAAGCCTCCACCTCTCCGCCGGTCTGCTACGTTTACCTGTGAGAAACAAGCTCACGTCTAGCAAAAACATGTTTTATTGGGGACAGAGTCAGCGGAGCAAAGAACACAGCGCTGGGGGCAATGGGGCACCCCCTGCCCCAACAGGGGATTATTTTCATAGAGCAACCAGGAGATATCATTAGTTGAGCGAAAATGGCGGTTTTCACCTCTTCACACCTGCAGAGCTCCTTTTTTTTGTTTCTCCGAGGCTGTCTCTCTCAGTACTTACGGGGGGGGGGGGGGGGGGGGGGGGACGCACGAAGTCCAGGTCTCTCTCCATCAGGAGTTCTTCGCTTAACCCTTTTCTGCTGGCTTCCATTCCTCCCCAGCCCCCCCCAAGTTCCCCTTTACATGACACCTAACCACAGACCACTCCCCATCCTCTCACTTGCCCAACTCCCCACGATGCCCAACCACATGCCTAACTTGTGACCAAAAAAGCTTGCTTGACTGTTATAATTTTAGCAACGCTAATTTTAATAACAGCTTTAGCCTGACTCAATAAAATTAATTGTTTAATTAGTTTTAGCAAAAGCAGAATTCTTCTGTTATTTATCACAAACCACCCCTTTTCTTTTAGTACCATATTTTGCTTGAGCTTACTAACAATTAGTCTCATTCTTAATATCATTACTTTGTGGGCACCAGCTGATGCAGCCATTTCAGGGTTTACCAGCATAACTGCTATTTGCATCCCCTCAATGATGTGAGATATTAGCCGTATAAAACAGGATATTAAACATGGTAAAAACACAAGCCTGCAATAGCACAAAGGAAGAAAAATCCAACCTTTTTTCCACACTCTGATGTTGGACACAACAATAAAACACTTGTTGCACGGATTTGCCGCTGTTCGAGCGAACCGTATCAGGATGATTAGCAGAGGTCCGGTATAACATATACTCCCACCTCTCATGCCTATGGGGTTGCAGCCCACAGCTGAGATAAAGGTCTTCTTGGTGGCGAGCACAGAGGTTAACCCAGTCTTGCCCTCCTCTGTTTAACAAATCCAAGTGTCTTGGTTTGGGCCTGGTCAGCAGCCAACCCCCACAGCTGGTCACCCTCCCTTCCCCCTCCCCACCTGGGAATGGGGGAGGGGATTAGAGGGGTGAAGGGAGACTCGCAGGCTGAGATAAGAACAGTTTCATAACAGCAATAAAACGAGAACAATGACAATGATAGGGGGAAAACAAAAAGAAATATATAAACAGGCAATGTACAGCGTAATTGCTCACCACCCGCCAACCAATATCCAGCCCGTTCCTGGCCAGCGACCCCGAGATACCAAGATCCCACAATCGCAATCCCGGAAGCGAGAGAGCCCTTCCCAACCACCCCTCCTCATATAGTGAGCATGACGTTCCATGATATGGAATATTTCACTGGCCAGTTAGGGTCTGATGTGCTGTCCGTGCTCCCTCCCTGCTCCCTTGCGCACGGGCAGGACATGGAGAGTCGGAGAGTCCTTGAAGTCTCAGCAGCAGCTGAAAACATCAGTGTGCTATCAGCATTCTTCCCATACCAAACCCAAAGCTAAATCCAAAACACAGCACTCATCTAGTCCCTGAAAAGGAATATTAACTCTATTTCGGCCCAAAGCAAGACAGTATCCACCCCTTATTCCATATCATTTACGTTATGCTCAAGTTCCACTATTACCCAATACAGTCTAATTGATCGTTATCCTTTCTCCTGGGTTTTAGGCATGTGCACACAGACAGCATTCCCTCAGTCACTGGGCCATCACTGCAGAATGTATCATAAGTTCATTTGGTTCATAACTTTGCGTTCCATCTGTCATAATAGTCTTTTAAGGCAGGAAGGGTGATTCTTGGTCAGTAGGGAATAGGTGACCAGGTGACCTTGCAGGAGGAAGGCATTAAGTGTCTGTTACAGTTGGAGCTGGTGGCTGATACATCTGATGCCGTCTGTATTCATGGTCTATGGGAGTCACTGGGCATCATTTGCTGAAACCAATCCTGACTTTGAGTTCATGTGTTCCTTCATGAGTGTGATGCTGTTATATAATGTGTGTCAATCATAGCGATGCATTGATAGGGCTGTTTGGTGATTGACCTAATACAGTTCAATTTATTGGCTATTTTCACCTAACGTTAAGTCCCCTGAGGCACACATCGGACTTCCCCATTCTTCTGCATTACCCACCAAGTGCACCCAGGTCCTTGTGCAAAGGTAATTCCACGTATGGGCTTACCTATACCTAAAGTGGGAATAACCCAGACAGTCTTTCCTAGCATGTTGTTAAGGTGCACTACTGGGACTTTATCCCCATCTACAGCACGCAGAAGGTTGGACTGGGCAGGGCCAGCCTGGTTGGTAGATCCTCTAGTATTGACTAACCACATGGCCTTTGCTAAATGTGTGTCCCAGTGTTTAAGAGTTCCACCTCCCATTGCTCTCAGCATGGTCTTTAGTAGCCCATTGTACCGCTCGATTTTCTCAGAGGCTGGTGCGTGATAGGGAATGTGATATATCCACTCAATGCCATGTTCTTTTGCCCAGGTGTTTATGAGATTATTTCGAAAATGAGTGCCATTATCTGACTCAATTCTATCTGGGGTGCCATGCCGCCACAGGACTTGTTTTTCAAGGCCCAGAATAGTGTTCCAGGCAGTGGCATGGGGCACAGCATATGTTTCCAGCCATCCAGTAGTTGCTTCTACCATTGTGAGAACGTAATGTTTGCCATGTCGAGTTTGTGGGAGTGTAATGTAATCGATCTGCCAGGCCTCCCTGTATCTATACTTTAACCATCACCCTCCATACCAAAGAGGTTTCAACCTCTTAGCTTGCTTGATGGCAGCACAGGTCTCACATTCATGGATAACCTGTGATATAATGTCCATAGTTAAGTCCACTCCTCGGTCACGATCCCATCTATATGTTGCATCTCTTCCTTGATGGCCTGAGGTATCATGGGCCCATAGCCATAAACTTTTTGCCCTTATGTTGCCAGTCCAGATCCACTTGAGCTACCTTAATTTTAGCAGCTTGGTCCACTTGATGGTTGTTTCGATGTTCTTCGTCGCTC